GTAAAATAGTTTTTTCCAAACAATTGTATTTTACAAAATCACTTCCACTAATTTGAAGCAACATAAAACTGCTCTGCTCATTGTAATTGAACTAGAGTTTGTATATATGGATTAAAAAACTTGAAGGCTGATATTTTATATACAAATTGAACATGTATCAATCTATTAGTTTAATTTGAAAAAGGGTAGGAAGAACCTGCAAAGTTATGAATAACTATACCTTTCCCTTATATTTTTGACATCCAAGAGTTGCTTAAACTGTTTTCAGTTAGAAAAATTACATCAAAGCACCAGCCTGTACTGCCTGCAAGAGCACAATCATACATTGTTCGGTTAATCGGCGCCACGCTATCTGACATTTACATAATACAGAAGTATTTTTTGAAATTTCCATAGTTACTACCAACCAAATAATGACAAAAGAAACAAGCACAGCAAATTATATCAGCAAAACCTACATGCAAAAGCACAAAATCCTAACTAAAGAAGAAAGTCTTAAAAAGCCAAAAAGATTAAAACAATGGAGAAAACAAAATGGGTTTCGACAAAAAAGTAACAGCATTCTTTGACCCCAGTAGCATTCTTTGAACTAAAAAAAGAGGGGGTGCATATTATTTCTCAATTTTACAACACTATCAATTGGCAAGAAATAATTTGAAGAACAAGAAGGAAACTAAATCAATTATTTTACCTCCAAAGTAGAAAAGTTGATAGAGATAGATGGCAAAAATCCACTAAGGTTTATAGGAGGCATGGGAAGGATGTGTCGAATGCCCAAGCATTGATTTGGCATGCTTTTGATGACAAAGAACCAACTTGGGAGTTGGTTTGAATTCTATGGAGTTTATCTTCTGATTTTCGCCGGCAGGCGTATTTTAGAAATTTGAATTAGCTGCAGGAATTTTATGTTTATGGTAATTTTCTGTTTAGTAGTTATTTTTTGGTAATTAGTATTTTAGTTGTTATAGGGAATAAAAAAGTTTAGCCTTCTAGCTTTCTACTAGAATTCTATTCTAGTTAGGAGTCCTAATTAGGATTGGAATGAGCTTTGTTCTAAGGTCTATAAATAACCACTTCTCCACAAAAAGGTGTCAGTTTTTTGGTCATTAACAAAATTTTCCTGCAGACTTAGCGTCTTCCTTAGGGCTGTGTGATACATCCCAACTTTAGGTGTGAGGCCTAAAGATTCCTAGGAGTGATTCTTAGAATTACCAATCAGTTTTCACCTTCTTAAGCATATTCTGCCATCCTATTCCAAGTTGCTATTATAAGTTCGGTGACATTCAATATCTAAGCTTTTCCACAAAGCTGGTGTGCCTACCAAGTTTTGTGTTGTGTCAGTTTTGGTATCAGAGCAAGGCTTTCCCATGACGACAAGAAGTGGGTTAAATTTTAGGGGTCGATACACAGACAAGGAACGGGATAACATCATTAATCTTCTCTTAGAGAGGTTTGCTGTGTTAGAAGACAAAATTTTTAATACTGAGCAACAGCAAATTCCTGAATCTAGAGGCAACGGTGAGTCTGGATCTGGGGTCAAAAACAATGGAAAGGAACTAGAGCATCTCAAACAGCCTGAACACACAATTGGGAATCAATCTGGTAGGAGTGAAAATAGATTAAATCAATCTTTTGGAAGGCCACAAGCTTCGCTTTTTGACATGGCTGATGAGATTGTTCAATCATCAAGGCAAGGAAGACAAGACTCTTATGATTTCGCAGGAGACATCACAAAAAAGGTAAGAGTAGATATCCCTGATTTCGATGGAAGAATTGATCCTAAGTATTTTATGATTGGCTCGCTACTTTGGAATGCTATTTTGATTGGTATAATATGACTGATGAGAGAAAAGTTAAGTTTGCTATCATGAAACTTGTTGGACAAGCCCAAGTGTGGTGCACAAGAGTTGAGCATGACCTTCGACTTGCTGGACAACTAGACTTGACATGGGAAGAGATGAAGCTGCGTTTGAAGAGAAAGTACGTGCCTCTACATTATGAAGCTGATCTTTTTGATGATATGAATAGCTTAAGGCAAGGAGAAATGACAGTTGCTGAATATATGAATAAGTTTGAAGAGCTGAAAATTCGCTGCGGAGGCACCGAAGGTTCAGCACAAGCTTTATCCAGATTTAAGTTGGGTTTGAGACCTGAAATTCGCAAAGAGTTGATGGGACGTGACATCTACACAGTTGATAATGCATTCCAAGCAGCTCTTAGACTTGAAAAGAGCCTGCAGCAGCCACTACTTAAGAGGTTCAACACTCAAGGTGGGGGGGGGGGGTAATTCCTAAAAGATTTGCTGCAAATTCTTGATTTTTTCTTAAACATTTAAAATCACTTGATTTTTTCTGCATCTGATTTTGGTAATGCAAATTCTTTTTGCTCCCAAGTTTTTGTCCCCTTAAAGTTCGCAGGGAGTATAATAGCCCAGCCTATGTAGCTTGTGATTCAAAGGTCCATTGCATTGCTTGTCCACTTGGTAATGTGGCGCCTTAGTTTCTGGCACAGGTTTATAAGGCACTTGTGAGTGAATCAATTTTTAGATTAGCTTGAGGCAGTTTTAAGGTTCGCTTCCATAGTTTAGACTCTGCATTTGTTAAATCCTTATGTTCAAAGTGATTCCCATATTCAAACTATTGTTTAAGTTGAAGATGAGCTACCTTTGGGTGGTTAGGTTGACTAATGGAGTTCTTAGTGCACTTGATTGGTTCATGGACTAAAGTGGGAGAGATGGGTTTGGGTAAGGAGTCTTGATATTGAGCATTCCCATATTTTTAGTCCCTCTTAAGTCAATTATTCTATGTTTTGTTGTCTACAATAATCACATTATTTGTGGAATTTATTCAATTCTATGGTCAGAGGAAGGTGATTGACCAAAAGACCCCTAGATTTGATCAATGCAAGACAATTTTATTCCGAATAAAATCAACCATCATGGGAAGATTTTGTAGAGGGAGGAGGATATAATAACATAAAACAAAAGGATGCAGATTTGTTTGAATTGAATAAAAGTGAGCGGAGTAGAGAGCATAAATATACCAAAAAAATCTGAGAAAATATGCAAATCAGCGAAGAATATATTACAGCAACCAATGGAAAGAAAAAAAGATTTATCATAATAGAAAATAAGTGGTTTTATGACTTGTGGAGTTATTAGGGAATTATTGCTCTTCTACTACATGATCTGTAATCATAGATGTAGTTTCCCTGAAGTGGAAAGATGAAATTAAATATCAAAGTGGTCCCTCCTCCTTCCCAAACATAGGTGGAGACTTGACTACTAATCTGGTTGAGCATCATTCATGAAGTCAATGCATTTCGGAAATAAATGTGTGTGATCTGAGATTACAATGGGATACATGATGTCCAGCCCTTGGCTTGCCAAGTCAGTATTTTCTACATGCTGATTTGAGTGGGGCACTGGAATTGTCCTATATTAAGTATCTTAAGCTTCATCTTCCGGTGACAGCTGCTGTAAACCGACTGTTCAAAAAGTAAGCCTTATATTTCTGTGATGTATTGTTGTTGTAAGAATGATTTCTCATTAACCAGAAATCTGTTTACAATTGCAGTTTCTGTTCATCGTTTACTGACATTAGCATAGAGTTCTTAATCAATGAGTTGAATATGCATTTATCATTTGGCAATGTGTGGAATGAAGGAAAAGTCGTTATTTTTTTGGAAACCATTTGGTCATTGTGGCTCAAGAATCTCTGGAGCTGGAGATCCATTAAAAATATTACCTCCATAATGGCACTTTACATCTTTCAAATAGATGTTTTTGCTCCAATATGTTTGTTAAAGAGTAAGCAAACATCACCAATAAAACTATTTTGCAGTACTTTGAGTGCTACTCGGTTCCTATGAAACTTTCTGAAAACCAACAAATCTTATTCTAAAAGGTGGTTACATTTGCGTGCCCTGTTGTTTGGCCATACTAAGGTTATACCTATTGAGGTTGGAAAACCATGGTCAGACTCCTTCCGCTGCTATTTTCCAATTAAAGGAAATAAAAATAAAAGCCCAATCATTGTCTTCCTGGCATGCTTTTTTCCTTGCCTCCCGTATGTAGTTCAAATTTATCCGCCCTAGATCTCTCTGCCAGCCAACTCGCCCAGGGCCAAATACAATGGCTTGAACCTTCTTTTTCTTTTTTTTCCCATACTGAATCCTAGTAAAGAAATATTAGGGTAGAACTTGTATTGGCCACCCTGTTAGTTATAGTGCCAGCAGTTGAATGAATTTTAATAGCAGATCTCATATTTTTAAGCATTCTAATGAATATTAAGGTAATGTTTCCAGAGCCATGTACTGTTTCTCTTCCACCCCCTTCCCCTTCCCTCTACTAATTGCTTGCTCCCTTATCCCAATTCTATTGATTTATACCACATCTTTACCTGCTGGGAAACACTGGGTGAAAGAAGAGTGGTGATGGGACTTCAGAGGCCTCCTAGGTGACAGCTGGACTGTGGAGGGAGGTTCAGGGAGGTTGAAGGGTAATTGAAAGAGGGTCAAGACTTGAGATCATCATTGACTAGGGCTAACATGGGTTGGAGGCCGTTGGGAAGCTGTGTGTGTGACAGTTGGGTTATTGGGGTGGGGGGAAAAGGTTATGTGTTCTAAAGGAAAGGAGGTGGCAGCCCTGGTGGGTTAAAAGCGTAAGTTGAGATTTTGTGTCTAGTCTTAATTTTCCTGTATTCATGAAATATTTAACTTTGACACTATCTAGGTTATAAGGAGAGGGTCTATGTGTACTGGTCTGTTGCAAGGTGCTGAGGTGCAGGTAAGTGCTTTAGGGTCCAAAAGCTAGTACAGGTGAATCTGTTGGGAGTTATTGTAGCATGATAATATAAATGAGTTTATTCTCAATTTAAAAAATGAGTGGATATCATATAATTTACTATCTTGTGGGCACCACAAGTAGATTGAAAATTTTGTGGTGCATTTACAGAATTTAATCAAAAAATTGATGAGGCAGTTCCAAAATTAATTCCTTGTACAAACCAAAATTCCTATGGACAGCATCTCATATAAGAGGGTGAGAATCTCACCTTCACATTTTTATTTCACAATGTTCATTGGATGTTACTTTTGAGGGCGTCTAACTGTAGAATTTTGAACCTCAAGGGGAGGTAATAGCCACATCAAGGGGTCTAACTGTAATTCTTTTGAACCTCAAGGGGTTGTAGTATGGCCACAATAGAAGGTGTGCAAATTTATTTTTGCCTATTCTTGATCAATAAATTTGAAGTAGTTCTTAGTGAACAAACATTTTAATGATCAATGTAGCAACTAAAAGACTATTTTGTAAATCAAGGTAAGAGGCACAATTTTGTAAATCAAGGTAAGAGATAAAAGTCTATTTTGTAAATCAAGGTAAGAGAGTAGTTTATGTCAGTTGTAAAAGTTACAGCAGCAATTGTCTTTCAATATTTGAAGAAAACTTGCTTGTATTCTTTTTCTTGATTTTGCTTTTGGCTGAATACTGGAGCTTTGGATGAATCTTCATCTGAAATTCCGCGTTTACATTACATCATGCACAGAGCCAAGATCAAGTCAGACAAAAGTTTCTCCAGCAGGAGTGAGAGAATTTGATGAAATAGGAAATGACAATGGTCTTCATACTTCGCAAGAAAGGTAAAATATTGTTTTCCATTTGCTTGCCATATGTTGATCATTAAAAGTTCCACCTAATCGATTTTCCTCTTTTGAAGGGGTTTGTCTTTAGAAGTGGGAACCAGAGAAATTGATGGGCAAGCTCCTGATGGAAACGAAAATGCAGATGGAAATGATTTGGGTACTACTAGTAGCATTCCCCTTGAAGATGCGTGTGAACTTATAAGTGAAGCCTCCGTTGAAGTCCCAATTGTGGATGAAACGAATGGTTTTGGGAATGTATCACAAACAAGTCCCGTTGTGCATTATGAGTTGTCGCAAGAGCCAACTCAACCTTACATAGATAAGGTAGCCCAGAAGGCTGATGGCAAGGCGGTCAAAAAAGAAGCTAAGAAACCAGGTAAATACAACCGGAGAGGCCGGGGAAGGGGTAAATAGTGTTTCTCTTCAGGCATTGCTGCTTGAGTTGTACACTAGCCTAAATTTAGGTATTCCACTTAGGTCTGTTGTAGAATCAAGGGTGCTAATGTTAGGCAGAAAGAAGTGTACTATTTAGTGTTTAAGCAATTGCAGGTTCAGTGTTGTATTAGTCATATTTATTTTGATTTAAATATGGGAAAATTTATTTTGATTTAAATATGGGAAAAACTTTTGCTCTTTTTTTTTTAATGTGTTTCATGAACTGTGCTTGCTCACCACCTTTGTAGGAATATAGATGGCATGCAAATTACTACTTTTTGGAGGAGGATAGAGAATAGAAATATAAAGCTAAGACATGGGGTATTATGTTTGCATTTAAGAGCATAACATTCCTATCTTTTTGAACTTTAGTAAAGCTATCTCGTAACTTGTTTTCCCTTGAAAGGGTCTTATAACATGTTTGAACATCTAATTGTGTTAATCTATGAGTTGCCTTCGTGTTTCACTTACATTTGGTGAAACCTTAAGAAGCCTTTCTTTTTGTGTGCCAAAACTTGGTTAGACTCGGTCTTCATAGACTCAATGGTCTAGATTGTGTCACGTCACTTTATATCATGGTCACTTTATATCATGGTTATGTTTCTGATTGACAAGATTTTGGCTCGAGAATAAGGAACAATGGACACTTTATATCATGGTTATGTTTTGATTGACAAGATTTTGGCTCGAGAATAAGGAACAATGGACACTGGAAATTGGAAATCACTTCACATTACTTTATATATTCTTCTTTAGGAAATATGCACTTCTAATCCTCAAAATTTGGTGGTTGGACCAAATTGGTCCTTAATATTTTAGCCAAAATATATGTGGTTCTCAAAGTATTTAATTTCGAACAAATTGGTTCCTAATGTTTCAATCCAGACAAATATAGTCTTTAAAGTGTATTAATTGATCAAATAAATCCCTCGTGTTTTTATAAAATCTTAAGAAAATGAGCTCATCACCAGCTTGTCTAAAGAAGAAAAGATCACTCCTAAATGCAAATGTGATCTTAGTATATGATAACAGCACAGGTACCTTGGTACTTCCTTTTGCCAATCAAGAATGGTAGAGGGAAGAGAGCCAAAAAAAGAGGTGAGCCCGCGCGAGAATTATTGAAAATGCCTCGATCCTCGATCTATAGAATAAAGGTGTTAGCACTTCACTAATAAGATAAAATTTGGCGAGGCAAAACCTACTCATAACCAATGTTTTTAAACTCGGACCGGTCAGTGAACCGGAGATGTGGCCGGTTCGCGGTTCGACCGGTCCAACCGGCCGGTTCAAAGGTTCACTGTTTTTTTTTTTTTTTTTTTTAAGCAGGTTTCATTCTACACTTGAACTTTACCAACATAAGTTCATTTAAGTTATGATAATAATAAATTTTCTAAAAGTTATACACAAAACATGGAATGATAAATATAATTAAAATATCATAATTCACCACAAGTTTTCATAAATTCATTATAAACATAAATTGATACAATCCAAATGTGCACCAATTATCACAAATAAAAACACAAAAAATAAATAAATTAAATATTGAAATTCTTTTACAACCCTTAAAAAAATCCATAAAAGAGTTCAAGTTAAGACAAACTATTTGAATAGCAAACTTTTATCAGTGGCATGATAAGCAACCACACCACCTTCACAATTTCATCAACTTAAGCTGAAAAAGTTAAAATTTTATTATAAAAATATAAATCTAATTGCTCAAACTAAAAAAAACTAAAAATTTTTGAAAAACAAATATACAATTAAACACATAAAAAATTAATTGCTACTAAACATTACTAATTAACATGTTATATTAAATTCAATGATCCTATACCATTAATTATTTTAAATTCAATTATCAATAGCTTCGATTATGTGTCAACTACCATATTTTTGACCAACCCAATGTTATTATTTGTAATTCCTACCCAATTCCTACACGGATGTGCACTACTTTTGCAAAAATTTCATCCTTAATTAATCGAATAAAAATAAAACAAAAATGAGAGAAACATATGAAAATTGAGGGGAAAAAGAAGAAAATGCAAAAAATCAACTAAAGATAATAATATAGAAAAAAACCTTGAAAAGAAAAAAATTAAACTTACTAAAATGTTGGAAAACAAGAAAAGTTGAAATTTTCAACTTGTTTACAATCTGCTAAAGATAATAACCTGATAATAATGGTGAAGACTTGAGAAAATCTTGTTGTGGATATTTGGGTTAAAAATGGTTAAGAAGAAAAAATTGAAAAAAAAAATAAGAGAAGAACTTGATGTTTTATTATATTTTTTAGTCAAGTATAATTCTCAACAAACTTAAGTACAGTCTAGCGGTAAGATTGTCATATTTAAACTTGGAGACCCAGGTTCGAATCTTAGCTACACCATTCTTGATATTTTGTTGAAGAATTTAAAAAACCGCCGGTTCACGGTTCTTAACGGTTCGCACGGTTCGTCCGGGTTTCAACGGTTCTCCATGAACTTCCGGCTTTAACATTAGACCGGACCGGTGACATGGCCGGTTCGCGGTCCAACCGGCCGGTCCGGTCCGGTTCTGAAAACATTGCTCATAACAAGTTATTGAGTTTGACTTTCAGGGCTATCCACTTAAAGGCTTAATGATTAAAAAGAACACAAAATGCCACCAAAATATAATAATAATAATAATAATAAATTAAAAGAAAAATAAAATATTGAAAAATTACAAAAAGATATAAAATAATTGTAAGATAATCATTTTTAGCCAAATCAAAATAATTGGTAGATTTACCAATTATATAATTTGTAGATCAAAGTATATGAAAATGCATGTACAAATTTAGGTTCAATGCACAAAATAGATTCTTTATCCTGGTATTAAATTGGGTGTTTATAGAGTACCTTATTTTTTAAGAGTATAAGGTATGTAAGGATCGAAGACAACCAAGTGGAAGAGATAAGCAATGTAAAGATCACAAATGTAACAATAAGTAAATAAAAAGGAAAGAATTGCAAACCAATTAACTACTCAACTCCTCTTGAGCTTGTAGATTAATTCAAACAAGCTTCTTCAAGTTGATGAATTACAATCACTCTTGTATACAAAGGAAGGTTCACTTCCTCCTTGCCCCGAACACCACTCGGTCAAGCCAGGAAGTTTTATTATCCCTCAGAACAACCCTCACAGAGCTACACTCATGAAGTATTCACTCACAAATGAAAAGCTTCCAATGAACCTCACACCACTAAGACTACAAATCTTCTTTGAAGAGTATTTTCTCACTAAAATCACTCTAGATCTTTTGTATCTTCAGTGTGCAAAAGTTATTTGAAATATCTGACCAACCACTATTTATATAGGATCAAGAAAGTGCCTCATTAATGCTTCTAACGGATAGAAAGTAGCTGAAAAGTCAACTAGCCGTTGGAGTGTCGGATGTCCGATATTCCTGTTTTTTGCGTCCGACAGCAGGCAGTGAGTTTAAGAGATTTTCTTCAATTCTTTCGGACGTCCGGTGCAAGCTCTTTGTGCGTCCGACAGCAAACAAAGAGATTTGAGAAATTATCTTGTTTCTATCGGACGTCCGGTGGAGACATATTCAGCGTCCGATGGTTTCGTCGACTTCGAAGGATCATATCGGACGTCCGAAGCATGCGTCCGAAGTTGTGCAATGATTATCGGACGTCCGGTACTGTCATCACAAGCGTCCGACAGCTTTCAGCAACCTTTGTCTTCTTTCAATTGCACTTGTTCATGGAATCAAATAACTTCATAACTGAAAATATATCTTGAAGAGATATTAGTATCATCCATTTGTTTTGTTAACATCAAAAGATAGGGATCAAGATCAACAAGGTATGCCATAGAGATTACATACAAATAATGAAAAAGTCAAAAAATTTTTAAAAATTAAAAATTTAAGTGCAATGTGTTCTAAAAAATACTACAATTTAATACCGAAATAAATCACGTGTTGGTGCATGTTCTCTATTTGTTAATTTGTTTCTCTTTCTCAATAAAACTAGATTAAGAATTATAATTTGTACGTGCACCTATGCTTCTATGTATAAATTGAATAATTGGAAAATGTATAAGTTATCTTAATTTGATCAAAAGTGATTACCTTAAACATTTTTTTGTCAAAAGTGATTGCCCTAAACTTAAATTTACTTTACATTTTTTGAAGTTCTTAAATTTTTTTTACGATTTTTATCTAGATTTTCGATACTTTCTTATAGAGTGTCGTGCATTTATATATCATATTAATAAAATTTCTTACATTTAAAAAACATGAAGTGCCAATTTGGTTAATTAATGTACTTTAAGGCCAACGTTTGTTCAAACTAGAACCTCAGATACCAATTTGGTCAAAATTGAATACTTTAGGGAATACATTTGGGGCATCCCACATCGGAAGTACCAAGAGGAAAGGAAAGGTTTAAAAACTTGGGTCCCTGGTTAATTATTTTGGACTAGTGGATTTTGTCCCAAAAATTGCTTGATTCAACCCTTGGACCTTAGTCATGACAGTTGGTAATCTCTTCTAGAATCCAGACACCTGAGTCTAACCGCAACCTAGTATGGGCCACACCTCACCTCTGGAGTCTGAGCACCTCTAGAACCCATACGAGTCACTTTTAGAATCTGAGCATACGAGTCACCCTAGAGTTTGACTACAACCAAGTACGAGCTACTTTTAGAGTCTGAACATATGAGCCACCTCTAGAGTCTGACCACAACTAAGTACAAGCCATCTTTGAAGTGGATTTGGGTCTAAGAGTTATTTGAGTTAACCCTTGAACTCAAGTCGTGACAACATTTATTATGGTTAAACCAAGTACGAACCATCTTTGGAGTCCGAGTACCTCTAAAGCCCGTACTAGTCACCTTTTGAGTTCGAGTACAACCAAATAGACAGTTTGGATTCTGACGTCTTTTGTGAGGATCCAAAGTTTTAAAGGTGGAGAGAATGAGGTATGGTACATCAAAAGTGGGAAGAGGAAAGGAAATGTTTAAAAATTTGGATCCCTTGGCTACTTTGTAACTTGGGTAACCATTTTGGCCCCGCAGATTTGGGCCTAAAAGTTACTCGGGTGAGTCCTTGAACCCAAATCGTGACAACATTTATTCTGGTTAAAACTTCAAGGACCACTTTGGTCCAACCCCTAAACTTTTAGGACTAAAAATGCATTTTCTCATTATTCTTTTCTCGAC